AAAAATATTCAAAGAGGTCATGTTTACAGTTATCCCAAACCTCAAAGAAGAAACCATGTCATAATTTCATTGTATAGTTTCTAGAGTATATCAGACCATTTATTGATGACATTATTAATGTCAAGGGTGATGGAAATTGTGGTTTTATAGTCATTGTATCATTTCATGGTTATGGCACGGATGAATGGTCAATTTTTCGTCGTGATTTGGATAATGAAATTAGAGGTTCTATAAATAAGCTCTATGAGAAGTTATTTAGATATCGCCTTTCAGTAGTGAGAGAATCTTTGATGATATCATCTTTAGGTCATAAACCACCAGAGAAATGATGGTGTTACCAGATATGGGTTATGTAATATCTAATCGGTATAACGTCATTCTCGTCTCTTTGGGTTATCCTAGTTTGACTTTGTTTCCTATGACGACTTCACATTCACCTAGTGTGTCCATTACTGCATTGGATTTGCAGACGAAAATCATTGGGTTCAAGTATAAATTTTCAAATTTGTTGAGTTAATTACTTATTTTTCACTCATACTTTACTTATTTTTATTTTGATGATAATTTTTTAAATAGGTAAACATGAATGAAGGATTTCCGTTGCAACCCATCACATTGGATTGGAAGAAATTTCACACAAAAGATGCGACTTCTTGGATGGTTGCATTTGTCGGACGGTTACAACATTGGAAACGCCTTACACCTATAGTGTCATAAATTGTTAGATTATAATTGTAATGTGATTGTTATATTTTGGATATTAACATTTGACTTCATGTTCTATTTTGGATTATATTGGCATTTGACTTTATGTTCTATTTTGAGTTATATTGCATAAGTTTTAAAATAGAAGAGAAGTATCAAAATACATAAGTATCATAATAATACATAAGTCCCAAAATAATAAGTCTCAAAAATAATACAGAAGTCTAAAAAATAAACAAGAAGTAAAGAAGATCAAGTGTCATAGTCATAGGTAACTGGTCTTCCCCTAGGTATTGGTCCGTCCTGAGCTACAAGTAGTGACTAGAAAATCTCAACAAACTCATCATCCTCCTCAGTTGCCTCGTGACACTATAATTAACGATGAAGCTCATGTGAAATATATGACAACCTCAGATTTGATGGTCCTTCATCATAGATAGGAATTGGGACCTCTCTCACCTCATCTCATGGCGGTACTACCAAACAAGGTTGTGACACCCTATAATAACAATCCAAGTAATCATCGTCTGCATCATATGGTCGAGTGGCGAATATCGCCTCACGAATCACATCCAAAACACTCGGAACATATCCAGCCCAATCAACATCCACAAAAAGTGTGTCAGCATCAGGAGGTGGGCGTGATATGTATTGTCTATATCTAAATTGACGTATACATTTGTCAGGTAAATATAGCACAATTGTCTCATACCATTTCAAACCACCCTTGTAAAGACATATATCATTAAATGGACAAACCTCTCTATGATCCTCAAAAGGCATCCAAATGACATCAACGAGGGTCAATGCATCTAACACATGCCTAATCACATAAAGCTTTTGTGTTCCTTGCCTGTAACCCCATTTCATCGCCCTCGAAAGTGGACTACCAATATCACAAATCCGTGACAATCTTCTCTTCCCAATAGTGGAAAAATACTCGTGAATCCAACATTGTTACACAACATGAATATTATCAAAATTAATTATAATAAAACTAAAAAAATTAATTATAAATAAATAAAACATTGTACCTGTAAAACAGAGGCATATTCGTCAAGCTGCTTGCACGTATAGAAGGAAGCATCTCCTAGATATTTGTATAGTGTGACAAGTGTCGTTGCTCCCCAACAAAATCTACCACGTCCTTCCAAGTTCCTAAATAGTGGTAAATACTTTGCCTCTACAAGAGTAAAAGTCTTGTCGGAAAGAATGGTGCAGCCTAACAACAACATCATATAGGCTCTAACAGCATAGTCAAATCTACTAGCAACTCGATGACGCACAAATATCTCCTTCAACCAATCAAGCCTATAATAAGGACCCCTATAAGTACAGATCTCCTCGGCTGCCTCCTCCAAGGAAACACCCATCATATCAACAACTAGACTAATAACATATGTATCAGTGAAGCCTTCTTCAGGATCAACCAACTCACGCTTAACTGGTATGTGGAGAAGACAAGAAACACCATCCAAAGTAATGGTCATCTTGCTAAATGGCATATGAAATGACAATGTTTCTGGATGTCATCTCTCATCAAAGGTCGATCAAGGTTTTGATCTATCCCCGACAAACTGATTCTTTGAAGAGAGGATAGACCGGAGTCAGTCAACCAAGTCTTTATCAGGGGTGGAAGAATGTGTGGAACAAATCCAATCAATTTGCTGCCATGTGCAACAACCTTTAACTCTTTCTTCGGATGTCTCTCCTAAAAATAATTTTTGGTATAAATGTTATAAAATATAAGTACTTATAATTAAAAAAATTTCAACATAAAATGATAGAGATTAACTTACTTTGCTGAACCATAAATAGCGAGCAACATGACCCTCACACTTAACCAGGAGAGACGTATCGATCGGTCCACCAGGAAATGTTGGCTGATACGGACCAACCTCAGGTGCAACCATCGGATGTCCCTCTCCATCATCTACCACCCTTTTAAAAGCGAAATCAGAAAAAATGACAATTTTTAAAAATGTAAGTATTTATACGGGGGTATTTTCGTCCAAATAGATAACTTATAGAGGTAGATGAATAATTATGGGGTACAGGGTAAAATTTCCCCCAAATCAATGTATCATATATGACTTGAATCATGATTTTGGCTATATTCACCCAAACCGACTCATATACATCAGTACCTCTTCTTATGTTTTCTTATGAATGAGAATTTGTGATTTGTTGTAGTCATATCGTTCATGCATGTCAAGTTTCTCTAACTATCTGATCAAGATCAAAATATTATATTTTAAAACTAATATTTTTTAATTATTATACAAAAACAATATTATTTTTTTACCGTATGAATAAAATCTTAATAGAATGACCGAGTGAATATAGGGATGTCAGTTTGGACCTGTTAATGGGGATCCCCGCGGGGAACGCCCCGTTCGGGGCCCCAAAGATGGGGAATTTTCCCCCGTGGGGGCGGGGATGGGGAGAAAAATTCCCCCGAGAGCATTTCGGGGACGGGGACGGGGAATACACCCCCCGCCCCGCGGGGACCCCGCCCCGCCTATTATTTTAATATAGTTAATTTAATTAATATAGTTTTAGATTAGTTAATTTAATATATATATATATATATATATATATATATATATATATATATATATATATATATATATATATATATATATATATATATATATATATATATATATATATATATATATATATATATATATTTTATGTTGTTGGATTTTTTTAGTTGTCTAGGCATATTGTTACTTTAAAAAGTATTATAGTTCATTTTGTTGAATTTTATAGCATTTTATAGAAATTTATAAAAAAAATATTATTATTTTGTGTTCCATTAGTATTTTTAATAAAAAATAATAAATGTCAAATACTAGTATTTTTTAATAACATAATAAATATGTGAATTCTTTGTGCTTTTTATTTTTATAGAAAATATAAACATTTTAAAAAAATAAAATATTAATGAATAAATGTAGGATCTATGGGGATCCCCGCGGGGAACGGGGATCCGCGGGGAACGAGGATGGGGATAGAAATTCCCCCGTGACGGAGATCGGGGACGGGGACGGAGAATGAATTTGATGGCGGGAAAAAAGATGGAGAAGTGTCCCCCCGGCCCCGCCCCGCCCCATTGACATCCCTAAGTGAATATGTAAAAAAGAAATGATGAGAATGAGTTAGTGAGTTTCTATATTATCCTTCATGTTGTTCATATTAGCTCTCAGTAGTAGTATATAATATAGGACTAGTCAAACAAGACAGGCAATGACCCATTATAATTCGTGGAAAATAGAATTAAGAGAGTATTATAATGTTTGGTTCCAGTCAATTTTTTTTATTATAAGGAGTTTTGGATTTTTCACACTTATTAAAAAAAAAAATTAATTCTTATATAAAAATGAAAATTTATAAATTTTTTTTATAAAATTGTCATTCATTAATAGTACAAGAAATATTTAAGATAAAATAAGAAGAATAGTATTAATTATTCATCGGTATTTTAAAGTGGTTTATATTAGGGGTGTTCGCAGTTTGGTTTGGATCGGTTTTAAAAGAAAAACTCATTCGATCCAAAGATTAATTCACTTAAGGTTCGGTTCGGTTTTGGATGATATATTTAAAAAAAATCCAATCTGATCCGATCGAATTTTATGCGGTTTAATTTGAATCGATTTTTGAATATCCAAATTACACATTATATTTTTATTAATATTATAAAACTACTAATAAATCATAGATTTGATATAATATATAACATATAGTATATTAAAAGTTAATATTACAAAATAAGAGTGATTGATTATGTTTGAAATAATAAAAATAAATAGATTATACCAAACTAATAAATATTATTAAAAAATTATTATCATCTAATAATAAATTCACATAACATGTCATACTAATAAAAAGTAAATAAGTATCAAAATATATTTATGTGGTTCGGTTTGGTTTGGATCGGTTTTAAAAAATTTATCCGAAATTCAATCCGAACCGATCGGTTTTCATAAAATAACATCTAAACACAACCAATAACTTTCGATTTTTTATGGTTTTCGGTTTTTTGGATCGGTTTTCGATTTTTTTTATTTGGATTGGTTTGGATTTAAACACCCTTAATTTATATTATAGTATTTAATTTCTTCAATCATAATTATTATAAAATAGAAAAAGACAGGTTGTTGTATAATAAAAAATATCTGAAAGAGTGTATTTCCTGGAAGGTAGAATGAAGAGATTTAATATAAGATTGTATAATTTGTAAGCAAGAGTATGTATTCTTCTTCTCAGATTGAACTAGTGTTAGTGCAATGGAGGGTGAAACCAAACATGTTAGTATTAAGCAAAAGAACAAGAACATGGATGTCATAGATATCCTCAAACAAACTCTTACAATCTATTTCAAAAACATTTATTTCATTATCTTCACTTTCCTCATTTCACTTCCTTTCTTTCTTCTCATGATTTACTTTGAAACGTTGTTCCAACAAACCATACTTCTAACTCCAAAAATCATCTCATCTTTACCATTTCGAGAAAAAAATCAACTTGGTTTCTATTCAATTTCCGACCACAGATTCATTCCTCAAAATGAACCAAGTTTTAGTCATGATTATTTACCTCTTTTGGTTCAACTTGGATTCATCTACTCTATCCCTCTTCATGCTCTAGAATTCTGTTGTAAAGTATTAACTATGGATCTAGCTTCAAAGCTTATAAATTCACAAGACAGCAACACCAAAATGAGTCTCAAACACATGTTTCGGAATTCAGTTGATGCATCAATCATGAAAGGAACATTTATCACTTCTTTGTACACACTTGCTTTATCAAACTGTCTTCTTATTGCATTTCCATGGACAGTGAATAATTGTTTCATTTTCTCTAGTAGTACTTTTTGGTGCTATGTAGTTTTTGGAATGATTTGTTTTGTAGCTATTGGAAAATTGTTGATGGTGTATTTGGAATGGAGTGCTATTTGGGATATGAGTATTGTGATATCAGTGTTGGAGGGTGTTTATGGAATTGGAGCTTTAAGAGTTTCATATCACTTCAACAGTGGTAATCAGAAAAGAGGACTTGTTTTGATGCTTGTTTTCTTTGTTTTGGGTGGTTTTTTGAGGCTAATATGTATCTTCTACTTTGAATGCTATAAAGGAGGTAGTGGAATTTTTCTACAAATTGGAGTTCTTACTGTGATGAATACATTGAAATGGGTGGCTTCTGTGATTTATTACAATGACTGCAAAGAGAGGAAAATGGAGAAGAAAGTTGATGATGAGGAAATAGGTCAAAGTGAGCTTCAAAGTAGGAATTCATGAAAGACATAAGAGTGAAGGGGTTTCATTTCTTCTCTGTGAAGATAACAATTAAATGTAGTAATGATGTTATTTCAATGATCTTTCTTTTCATTTGTATATTTTCCTGAATCTTAATTGGATTTATACTTGGTGCCTCTACATGTTCAACAAATCTATATATGGAATTGATATCTAAACTGCCTATAGACAATAAAGAAATTAGTCTCAAGCAGAAGACTTGTGTTTCCATTGATTTTCAAAGGGTCAAAATTGAAGTACAACACTATGGAGATTTAAAATATTCAGCTGTAATGATTTGAATTTTGCATCTATGGTCTATGGAGATGGATTGGCTGTAACAATAATGTCTTAAAGAACAACTTTACCAAATATGAAATAAGTTTCCTTAATAAAAATGAATTAACAGACCATGATGGGCTGGAGTGGACTAGAAATGTCTTTTCATCGTTTGAATATTTTTTATGATAGACTTGTACATGTTTTTTATTCCAAAATTTCTTTCTATACTCTTACACTTTTTAAATTATTTCTAGTAAAATTTTATTTTTATTTTTCGAATTTGGAGATGTATCTCCGAACGTGTTATAATTTATTTTTTCTGGAGTATTTTCGAAGATGTATTTTCAAAATTACAGAATTTTATTTTTTCTGAAGTGATATTGGAGATGTATTTCCGAAGTTACGAAATTTCATTTTTTTTTACATGTTTCGAAAATACACTTCTGAAACAATCCCTTATTTTTTTATAACAAAAATAGGGTGTTTTCGGATCTCTGAATCTTTGCATCCAATTCGAAGATGGGGTGAATTCATATATGTATTTCCGAAGTTACCATATTGTATAAAATTATGATTATTAAACTTTTGGTACCCGAAATAAACATCAAGTTTTTGGCAAATCCAACATTTTTCTAGCACTGTTTTTAAATAGCAGGACAACGATTACCGAATATAATTAGGACCAAAACTAATTTTGATTCTCAGATTATGTAACAATTGTCGCTACCACGGAAAACAATCGGCACGCAATGAAGCCACCATCGAATATTTATTTATCCCACAGAAGGGAAAGGAAAACATCGAAGAAAACCCGAGAAATGAGAAATCAAGGTCTCGCGACTAAGAGATCGGGTACGGGAGTCGATTATGCAAGGGGAGGATATTAGCACCCCTCACGTCCGTGGTACTCCACGAGATCCACTCTTGTTGTTCTAATAAAAGGGTGTGTCTATATCTAAAGCTTAACTTGCTAAGGAGAAATCTGCATGAATGTAAAGTATACACAAAAATAAAGTTTTTTATTAGTTGTGTCAGCCGCGGTTACGAATCTTTATGCCTACGTACCACCTTTCATGCAATAGAGGATCAAGGCACTCGTAGTTCATCTCAATTTTTGTTTTTTTTTTGTTTTTTATGAGAATGATGCGTTAGACATTCCAAACGTTGGAACATTGACTTTTTTTCTCATACGAGAGGCCTAAGTCGTTCGCTTCGTATTAGAATGACTAGAACACATTCTTTTATGAAAAGAGTTTTCAAAAGAAAAGTCCGAAGACAAAAGAGATTTGATTGGTTTGTATTTTTTACTTTGAAAAAGGATTTGACGATTTGAACCACATTAAATACTATGACATGAGAGACTTTGGATGGCCGAGTCAGACACCTCGTATCCAAAGTGCTTCACACGTGTTTAAGGCTCATGGCACATGGTTCGCCTCTTTATTGTTAAGTGTTTTCGAGTTTGATAAAGAAAAATAAATTTTAATTTTAAAGATTCAAAAAGGGGAATGAAAAATTCTAAGGGAGACTAAAGCCCTAATGTTATCATGCAATGGTGGTCCTAATGTTAGGATTGAAAAGAGAAATCTCTATCTAAGTTAGCATGAAAAGATGGACCTATGGTTGAGGATAAAAGAGTGTTACCTAATATTGAAATGCTTGGGTAAGAACCTAAGGTCTAATTGATTCACCTTAAACAAGATGAGATCAAAGTCCTAAGGGAGCATGTTATCAAACAAGCAAGCAAAGGCAAAAAGATAACAAGCAAACAAGTATCAAGGGTTAGCATACAAAAACACATTGAGGCATACAAGATAGAAAGCTAAATGGGACAGAAACAACATCAAATAGCACTCAAGAAGGTAAGCCATGAAGATGAAGGAAGAATAGTCAAGCATAGACCAAAGATAGGTCAAAAAAGCCAAGTAAACAAGCAAGCAAGTTCAAGAAGACTTAAGCAAGTAATGAAACAATGTTAGGATGTTTAAATGGTTAAATCAAGGTGAACTTAAGAACCTTAACATGTTATGAGAATAGGATAAAGAAAAAGAAACTTGATTTTGTATAGGTTGCACCAAGTGCATACCTTAAATCTCAAGTAAACAAATAATTTAGACAAGAAGTATGATCAAATGATAAATAAATCAAATGAAGTAAAATGGTTCTCAAGTTATTGAATAACTATCTTTAAACATATCACCCTTCATACAATGTAATTGGATTCAAAGAATTCTCAAGATCAAACCAAAATCCACACAACTATGCAATTTAGGATTTTAAGAATGGCCAAACAAAGGCTCCAAGAAAATGATCATCAACAACTAAAAACAAGATCAATAAAATTAATAAAAGTTGATGTGATATTAAAGAAAACATAATATCATCATGTTTCCAAATATTATCCTCTAAATAAGTTCACAAGTTTCCAAATGAAACTCAACAAAATCCTACAAAACTAATGGAACACATTCACTATATAATTCAAGAAAAAATAGAAAATTAAAACCAAAATTAACCTACTATCATCAAGACTTATAAAAGTCATAAACAAAACTTAGGGTTCTTGGAAAGCTAATGAAAGATGCAAATTATCCTCAATTGTCAAGACTATTTGAGAAAGATATCAAACTAGACACCTTAAACAAAACATTTTATGAAAAATTAGAAAATAAGAGGATGAAATTAATTAAAAAATAAGTTTAATAATACTAAGACATTAAATAACACTAAACGTATTTTTTTAGATTTTTATAATTAGGATAAAGTGAAAATAAAATCAATATTCAAACAAAAGCAAGAAAATCAACCAAATTATCACTCTTTAAAAACAATTTTCAAAATCAAATAAAACTAAGTGATAAATTTGGTTGAAAATAATTAAAATCATCTCAAGACATCAAGAATAATGGAAAATATTTTTTCATATTTTTTGGATTAAGAAAAAGTTGAAAATAAAATCAAAAGATTAGTTAAAACAATTGTTTTCATCAAATGACACATTTAACCACAAAAATTATTTTAATTATCAAGAAAATTGAAAAAAATAAAATAAAAAAATCATAATAATAAAATAGACTCAATGATAAATCCACACATATTTTTTTCATAATTTTTGGATGATTAAAATTTGAAAAATAAAATCAAGAAAGTTGATGAAATATTGAAGAAATATGAAGAACAAGTCAAATGGCACAAAAGACAAAAGAAATGACACATCATATGCGTGGGCCCATGTCAAGGTGGCGGTGACTGCAAGGAACGAATCAGGAGGTGCCACCTATCATTCCAAGCTTTCAAAACTTCAAAAAAACTAAAAAAATCATGGAAATCACTTTCTCATGCATGAATCTTTAATCAACCATATCTTTAATCAAATGACTTTTGAATCAAAATTGTAGTATTATGAAAGAGGAACAACATGTTATAAAGAAATTCCAAAAATAATCAATGTATCATAGATAAAATCAAACAATAAGGTGACGAATTCACACTTTGCACACACATTTCAAACATCAAAATCAAGTAAAAAGACAAGTAGATCCACTTGTATGGGTCATCTAAGGATGCATTAACATGTTTCTAAGCATTCACACCCTAGAATAAGAGAGATGAAGGGAGGAGAAGCTTACCAAGTGGAATATGTCCATTGCACCTTGAGCTTTCAATAGCTTTAGAAACCCATTGATCAGTGGTATTTGCACAATTATTTATCGTTAATTGTAGTTATATTTTCTTTTATTGTCAAGTGTTTTATTTCATTTTATCGCATTTTATGTTTTGGTTGAGTGTTTTAGTATTTTCAAGGTCAGAGGAATAAAATAGGACAATTCAGGACAAAAAAGTGCAAAAACTCAGAGTTTTGGAGAAAGTAAAAAATCCACCTACAGGAGGTCGGACATGGGTGGTCGTGTTGCCCAATACGGGTTGTGTCAAGAGGGATACCTTGGGCGCTTTGGAAAACATGGGAAGTCATAGGTGCAATACGGGTGGCCGTGTTTCCCAACACAGGTCTTGTTGCTACCCCTGGGAATTGGGAAATAATTTTCCAATTTCAAGGGCCAACACGGGCACCCCGTGTTGCCTAACACGGCCCGTGTTGGCGAGCAATGGTGATTTTTTGCTTTCATGATTTTTGCCCGAATATTGATTTGCATGTGTGCTTTGGGTACTTCCAACCGACCTAAGTGAGTTTTTGCTATTTAGAGGAGTTTCCACGAGAAATTAAGGGACTTTTGGCCAGCGAAAGAATTAGAGGATTGAAGAGAGAAACATATGGGATTCTTGGAGGACGGATATTTTTCATGAGTCGCTGCGATTAAAGATCAAAGTTCATCATTTATCTGTAATGTTTAACCTTTACATCATTGAAATCCTTTTGAAAAATATGACTAGCTGATAGGAAAATAGCAAGTGTGCTATTTCTGCCTATTGTAGTAATAAAGTGGAAATTTCCATGTATCGAACTCAAGGACTTCTTGACAATACATAGTTCTGAGATAATTTCAATTAAACAAAAGCTTTGGGGATTTGGTTTTGTTTGGTAAAATTATAGCTAAAATGCAATAAAATATAAAATAGTCAAATGATAAACGTATATAAGTAGATTGCTAGAGGTAGTGAGTGATTCTATATGTAATAGTTTCACCTTATCAATGCAATAACACAATTCACAACATTTGATTACCTGTTCTTTAGGACATCTACTCCTAAGTCCTTAGTGA